ACACAACAAAGAGAAAATATTAAGAGCAGCAAAGGAAAAATGTCAAGTAACCTATAAAGGCAAACCTATCAGAATCATATCTGACTTTTTCTTGGAAACTCTGAAAGCCAGAAGGTCCTGGATAGATATTCTACATACACTAAGAGACCATGGATGCCAGCCCAGAGATATTCCATGACAAAACCAGATTCAAACAATACATATCCACCAATTCAGCCCTACAGAAAGTTCTGGAAGGAAAACTACAACCCAGGGAAGTTAACTACAACCAGCAAAATATATTCAATAGATAATCCCAACTTACCAACAACCAAAAGGGAAAAAGGGACAGAATCCCACACATAATCTTGCCACCATCACCAAATCAAAAACAAACAAGAATGAACAATAACCAATGGTCATTAATATCCATCAACATTAATGGTCTTAGCTTCCCTATAAAAAGACACAGATTAGCAGAATGAATAAGAAGACAGAATTCTTCCTTCTGCTGCATACAAGAAACTCCCCTCAACCTCAAAGAGTGTGGTGTGGGGAAAGACCTTCCAATCAAATGGACCCAAGAAACAAGAGGGGGTAGCAATCCTAATATCCAGAAAATTGGAGTTTAAACTAAAATCAGTCAAAAGAGATGAAGAAGGTCATTTCCTACTCATCACAGGAGAAATCCATCAGGATGAAGTCTCAGTTCTGAACATTTACACCCCAAATACAATGGCATCCATGTTTGTAAAAGGAACATTACTAAAAGTCAAATCACATATAAAACCGCACACACTTATAGTGGAAGATTTCAACTCCCCAATCTCACCAAAGGACAGGAACACCAGACAGAAACTTAACAAAGAAACAAAAGAACTAATAGAAGTTATGGATCAATTGGACTTAACAGATCTTAATTGAACATTCCACCCAAATACAAAACAATTTACCTTCTTCTCAGAATCACATGGCACCTTCTCTAAATTCTACCACATACTTGGCAACATAGCAAACCTCAACAAGTACAAAAATTTGAAATAACCCCCCTGTGTCTTATCAGACCACCATGCTTTAAAATTAGAATTCAACAACAACACGAACCACAGAAAACCTATAAACTCATGGAAATTAAGTAAAACCCAATTGCACAATTGATAGGTCCAGGAGGAAATGAAAAAAGAAATTAAAGATTTCCTAGAATTCAATGAGAATGAGGACACAACATATCCAAACCAATGGGATACTCTGAAAGCAGTGCTAAGAGGACAGTTCATAGCGCTAAATGTCCACATGAAGAAAGAGCAGAATAATTACAATAGAGAATTAACAGCACAACTGAAAGATTTAGAAAACAAAGAAGCTAATACACCCCGGAGGAGCAGGAGAGATCCTCCTGCCTCTGCCTCCCAAATTGTCCTAATTTTTATAAAATTTGAAATTTACTACCTCTGCAAGTGACATTGAATGGAATTACTTACAAATCCTTTACTTAGTGAGCATACACATTTAAGATCCACAGTTCCTAGAGCTTCAATGAGCCAAACATTCCCACAGCCAAGACAACATGAAAAATGCAGCATTCAACCAACCAAAAAAAAAAAAACCCAGGGCCAGATGGCTTCAGTGCAGAATTATACCTGAAATTCAAAGTACAGCTATTACCAATTCTCCTCAAAGTATTCCACACAATAGAAACAGAAGGGTCATTATCAAACTCTTTTTATGAGGCTTCAATAACCTTGATACCCAAGTCACACAAAGACACAACTAAGAAAGAGAACTACAGACCAATATCCCTCGTGAACATTGATGCAAAAATTATCAATAAAATACTGGCAAATCGAATCCAAGAACACATCAGAGAAAGCATCTACCATGATCAAGTAGGCTTCATCGCAGGGATGTAAGGATGGTTCAACATACAAAATCCATCAATGTAATCGATCATAAAAACAGACTGAGGAGAAAACCATATGATCATCTCACTAGATGCTGAAAAAGCCTTTGACAAAATCCAACAACCCTAAATGATAA